GGCCCGGCCGGCGGAGGCTGCGGGCCTCTCCAGGAAGAAGCTTTGGCGGCTCCAGGAAGAAGCTTTGGCGGCTGGAGAAAAAATGCTTCTGCGGCTGGAGGAAGAAGCTTTGGCGCCTGGAGAAAGAAGCGGCATGTCCTGGAAGCCGGCTGGGGAGCTGCAGAATGTGTGCAGGGAAAGGGACTCTGCACAGCCCATCATCGATCCTGCACAGCCCACCTGAGAGTCTCTGTGCAGGGTCTATGGTGGGCTGTGCAAGGTCTATGGTGGGCTCTGTGGCGTCTCTGGTGGGGTTTGCAGGGACTCAGGTGGGCTGTGCAAGGTCTATGGTGGGTTGTGCAGGGTCTTTGGCGGTCTCAGCCTGAGACCATGCAGAGCCCACCAGAGATACTTTGCAGCCCATCTGAGACCCCATCTTCCCTGCAATGATAATAGCGCAACCTGTCAGAAGCTATATGTAGCGACTGACAGGTTACGCAAAATGTCTTGAACAGGAAGGGGTGGGCCAAATTTAGATGGGGGGGGGGGGGGAGGATTACTTTAGTCCTGCTCCCATAGTGGATGCAAAATTCCAGCACAGAGCCATCTCCATCATGGGGGGTGGATAAACTCCAAGACACTCTCAGTTACTGAGTAAGCTATGAACATATAAGACTCTTCTGTCTAATAAACACTCTATTGTTGACAGTTTATTAACAAAGAAATATACAAGCATTTTGAAATATCAGACCTGAGACCCCAGGGCCAAGTAGTGGCTGGTGTCTCCACTTCAGTCTTCCTTTAGCTGCATTAACTATACTTTGGACCAATTCCTGTTTCATCTTGCTTCATAGACTTCATCAAATACATGAAGGGAATATTGCTGGGAGCCTAAAGAAATGTATATTTCCCTTAAAAAAAACATATTTTACAATCTCTAAAATGTAAAATAATAAGATAAAGACTAAACAAAACAGAGATACACTGTGAAACATTGTTATTTTGTTTTATATTCTGGAATGTAAAAATAAAAATCTTATAGGAAACCTTTTATTTTACCATATGTTTTTCTAATCAGTTTGTGATGTTATAGCAATAAAACAAACAGCAGAGCAGCTGAATAGCCCATAATTATTTTAATGATGTGTTTTAGACATCAATGTGCAATAAAACTGATAACACAAAAATAAATGTGAGCAGTAAATTCTGACAGTTGGTGTCACTGCAGTACATAGAATGTATGTAATAAACATTGCATGAGATTATAAAGTATTTGAAGAAGATTCAGATAAAACAGCATTAAAAAAAAAAACTAGCACAAAACATTTTTTCAAAACTTGACTCTTTGTGAACCAATTGTTGTGTGAAGCTTTCAGTGCACATTAAAATTAAACTGAAAGACAAACAGGAGGCTACCATTGCCGACCTCTTTCTAAGAATATCAAATGCCTCTGACTTTAATACTTCCTCAGTCATTGTCCTTTATTCCTTTGTGGCTAGTAGGAGTAGAAAATGCCCAGTGGTCAGTGGTCAGAGGAAAAAAGCCCCAGGTCGGATGGTGAGTGGGAAAGACAATCATAGGGCTACAGTTTTGGAAAACAGTTTTGGAAACACTGAGCTAAAGCATGGGGACAAAAAACAACTCCAGAATCCTAATTTATCTTTATTTAGAAATTGAAGGCATGAATTCTAGCCACACCTATGTTGCAGATTTAATAACTGACTCTACCATAACCTGCAAAAATAGGAGAGAGCCCTCCGCACACCCCACAGCAGTCCCGGCCAATTAGAGGATGATGGTGCTCGAAGTGACTCGATTCACGGATGGCACCGTGTTTTTTGCTCTACCATAACCTGCACATTTTAAAAGTGTGGATATCTGGATCGTCATGTGCATGGTCTAAACTTTTCAAAAATCCAGCGATCCTGAATTTTAAAAGATACTATACATTATTTAAGGAAATGTATATAGAATATGCCTGAGCATATACTGCATCCTAAAACCATTGTTCCAGTGGAGACCCCGTACATCATATCCTGTGAAAACCTTTAACTTTATTTCTGCAGGGGTTTAACGATACATTTGTTTTCATTCATTTCTTCACTGGGTGGCTTAGGTCTGTCAAACATAGTATTTATGTCATCGCTTGGGTTTCCTGTAACTATGATCCAGTGATTTTCATTTTCTTCAGCCTTGTGACCATTTAAATACGTGTGAGCGGTGACTTCACATTCCTTGCCAAAAAAAGTCCTGAAACATTGAGAAGTGACAATTGTAAAAAAAGAATTACCTTTGCCAATCAAACAACATCACTGTAACTGTGTACTTGAATATATTTTAAACTAAACTAAAATCTCCATAAAGTATACACTACCCCCAATGTTATGCCTATGGTTTGAGCAGATTGGGCTAATTTGTGGCCAGCAGACAGCTGTTGGACCCAATACATCAGGTGTTTATTTTTCTAATATACCCATAAGCTCTTCAGCATGCAGTGTTTGCTTCAGAAGGCCCTGTGCCCCCATAACAAAGAAAAATTCTAGCGTATGCCACAGACAGACATCCCTTTTGAAATGGCTGTACCCCAAAAGGCAATGTGAGAAGTAGGTTACGTGCCCATTGGGGACACATAATTTGTTATCCTGCCCAAGGTTAACAGATTGATGGGTCCTTTGGGCAAACATAGGCCTTTAAAGTACACATGTCAAATAATGGCCTCCATTGCTACTCTCCTTCAAAAAATACTAGTTTCCTAGGTGTTATACTCACCACTAGCTTCAAAACATTGCAAGTCACTGACCTAGAACAAATATGCAGCTCTGGAATATCAGAGAAAAGTCAGCAGTGTTTTTCTGCATACTTGTTCTGAGTCAAAGATTCACACATTAATACAAGATAATCAACTAGCTTTTTCATAAGCAGAGATCAGAAATGGCAACCTATGTTTCTCCCATGGCAGATCTCCTTTATTCTACGGCCAAGTTAACTCCACCACCGCCATTCAACATTTCATTCAAGAAGCATTATGTTTACTGAGAAAGGGGATTTGTCATGCCACAATAGGTTCAGTCTTCTTTGAAAAGTCCCTTATAATGTTCAGATTTGGGAATCAAAACTCACCACATCTATAATCAGGAGCTCCTAGACCTAGAATGAGTGAAACTCACTCATGCCTTAGGTCTGTGTCAATGGACTATGGACAGTTTGACATCAGTTGGAGATGCTTCTAAAAATCATTAAAAATTCATGAACAGATGCATTTGACATAAAACTGACTTTTCCCTTTTCTGTATTTGACCTGCACCTACATTTTGGGTCTGCATTCCCATAGACTTGAATAGAAATATAAAACCCCTCTGACACAAACAAAAGCCTTTCAACACAGGCCCTAAATTACTTCATTAACGCACAGCATGGGAAGTGGGAAGAAAGAATGTCCAAGAGTTCCTATACTTCAGTACTATAATGGGTATCTATGAGATTTACTAAGATCATGACTGGAAGCCATTCAGTAAAGACTAAAGAATACATTGAACCACTCTAAGGGTCTGTGTCGATGGGCTTTGGGCTTGTGTCAATGGCATCAGCTTAACATCAGTTTCAATGAACAGTCTAATAGAGCAGGACAGAGTGTTTCAGAATGAAGGTGAATCATGTGAATGACAGGAACAGATCATTAACAGAACAAGATGAAGACCTTGTAGGTAATGACTGGAATTTGTATCCGAATACTGAAAAAGAATGGAGCCTACGCAAGGACTGACTGAGGGTCCATGTACTTTGTTAATAAAGCATCTAAAAAGAAAAAGTAATTCTGGCTGGTGCATTATAATTGACTGAATTACTGCCACATTTAATGAGCAATATGTCAGCTAGCGATGAGTTACTATAATCCGGATGGAAAATAATCGGGGTCAGCATTACTATTTTAGAAGTTTACCAAAGTACAAAAACTTATCTAGAAAAATCTAGACAACAAAATTGTTTTTGAGGCAACAATGGCAATATAATTAGCTGATAACACATGCATTATTTTATCAAAATATATTTTTTGTATATGGTTTATACCAAAATATTAAAGGTACATGTTTCTAAATTAATATGTTAAGGAGCAACAAAGCTTCTCCAATGAAAAAAAAAAACATTAATTATTTTATATGACCATATCTTAGCTGTAACAGAAAGCATTTGTTATTGAACTGTATATAATGAATACATTACAATTATTATATTTGTTCATATAGTTCACATGGTTGACAGCTATCTGTTTATGAGCAATGGAGAAGAAAATATATATTATTAAGATGAAATAAATGAGTGGTATTTCTTTTTCTCTTGACATCCAAAACCAAATTGTTTTAGGAACTACATGCATGGCAGAAATAAGTTAGCAGAAGAATACGTTTCACAGCAGCAATCAGAGATTCACAGTTCATTCCCAGGCATACATAGGAAACATATGGACATAGAGAACAATGTTTTTCTTACCATAAGATATATTTCCTGAGAACAGCTAGACATCTGTTGGTTTTGCTGTGAACGATGAGGAGTTTTGTGTTTGCCTGTAAATACAAGTTGTGTTTACTTTTTTTTTTTTAATAGTGTCAAAATTAAAAGCAATAAAAGTGGGGACAATATACCTATGCATCATTTTCTACATCGGCATATTATATAAATATATATGTATATATATTTTTTTTACATCAGCATATTTCACATGTATTTAGTGGCTATGATATACAGTATACACAATACAAGATCTCAGTTTCATGTCAAGTCTTACCCTACCCATACAGTTTTAAAATATTTGGAGAAATCTTTGGTAAATCATTATTTGGGGGGGAGGGGGGGTAGAAAAGACTACATGTCCAAGGGCCAGAGTAGTGAGGAGAAGGGGCGTGGATAGAAGTGACAGACACAAAGAAGATACCCCAATTCCTAAAATGGCTGAACAGATTTGTTTACATCTTTATCAAAGTAATTTACTCAATTATAGATCAATGTTGTTAAAGCATATCTAAACCCAAAAACAGAAGTGCAATATATTGTAGCTTACTAGTCCTTAAAAGAGGTGGCTGAATTAGTTTTCTTTTTTCATGCTTTTTCCTCTTTATTTTCAGCTGCTACTCCTGCGAATAACAAACTTGCTGCCCTACTATGGCTGCGCTTACTCACTATACTGTTTCCATAGATGGAGTAGAGTTGCCAACCTAGACTGATTTTGATTTGAACTGCATGCATGTCCTCCTCCCTTCATCTTCACTAAACAGAAGTGGAAGAACCGGTAGTTTACTGCTTGAAAGGACGATAATGTTCTTTGATATATCAGTTCAGTGTACAGAAAGTTATAAGGAAACTGCATTTTTGGCAACTTCAACAGATATCTTCTGTATTTTCTGAAAATTACCTTAGCTTGAAAAAATAAACTAATGCAGCCACCACATCTAAGGACTGGTTAGCTGCAATATATCACGTTAGTTCTTTTAGATATAATTTAGGTGTTTATCATGGTAATCTTTCAAAATAGAAGATCATTCTTGTTGCATGTTGTTAAATGTCCATATATTTGATGACACGTGGTTAAAGTAAACCTGTCATGAAAAATCAGTTCTTATCTGTATGCTTATCTTGAGTCTGTGGGGTTGATTTACTTAAGGCAAAATGACTCTTCACTTTGAAACAGAATTTTCCCCTTAGATTATTAAATGAGGTCATGTTCTGATGATTTCTATCATCATGTGTCATGTGCAAGCAATTAAACTTTGTTGTATTCTGCTTGGGTATTTATTGCAAAGTGAATTTTTACCACCTTCACTAAGCTAAGTGTGAATTCCCTTGCAAAGTGAACAGACTATATTCCTATAGTAAATCAACCCCAAGTATGGAAAACAGATGGTCAGCATAAAAGTCAGAAAGTTATAGAGGGTGAAGCCAGCAATAGTAGCCTTCATGCTTGTTAGGTTTGGATTATTAATGGGAATTTTGCATGCAACTGCAATCACCTGCTTGTAGCTGTAAAAGCCACATGAATTATATTGTTCTGATAACGAGATACAATGGCAGGGCTGTTTTTAAGGACTTTCTGGGGATTTTTAGAAAAGTTCTATCTTAAAGCTGGCCAAACACCTTACAACCGTCGCAAGACTTTAGTCTTGCGATGTTTGTAAGGTAACTAAGGTAATTTAAAAAACGTATGATCTGCCCATCTTGGACAGGAAGATCGTACTTGCGATCATCGCAAGCCCGTCCCGCTGAGGGGTCGGCTACCGATGACTGCAATGCTGAACGGGCAGTGTGCGCGCATGCGCACACCGTCCCGTTCAGCATTTGTCTTACGAGCACGCCACAAACCCGCCGAAAATCGTACGATTCTTGCCGGGTTTTCAAAGATGCTCGTAAGACAAAAGACGTGCGACAGAAGGCGTGCGTAGAAACGGTTGCATGCCTTCCATACACCTGCCGATTATCGTACGATAATCGGCAGGTGTATGGCACCTTAACACTGTGTAGAGCATTTCATATATGTGAGACTACATTTTCCTTGGTCTACAGCAACCCCAGCAAATGTGTTTTTGGCCTTTCTTTGCATTAATCCTTAAACAACCCAATGGGAATCTCTGAAGAGAGGTTTATACCCAACTTCCTGAATTAGATAATTTACATCAGTGGTTCTCAACCAGTGTAACCTCAGGACCCACATTTGTCCTTGGTCATGAAGTCGCAACCCAAGTCGCACTGCATTGGAATGCACGGCATTGTAGTACCGGGTGTTCAGGTGCAGGCGATCGGACTGTGGGTGGGAGGTGCGTTTGGGGTGTCATTTAAATTAGTGGCAACGCAATGCACCTTCCACACCAGAACGCGTGGTAGGTGTGATTGCGTGGTACAGCGCATGAATCGCATGGGACTGTGCAATTAACGCACTGTACTAGTGTGAACGGACCCTCAAAAACACTGACTGACACACACAACCACAGACACAATCTCACACACTTACAGACAGACATTCTCACATACACACTCCAAAAAAAATTATATATTTTTTTCTTTTTTTTTTAAAGATCCACCCAGTCTCCTTACCTTACGAGAACGGTAGTGGATCCTCAGCCTGGGGTCCAGTGTGGGCTGCTGGGCTGTGATGGAGCTCCATCCATATGTGCATTGCTTGTACAGCTCCCTTGCGTGCCCTGTAGAGGTGCCAGGAGCCACAATATGATGTCGGTCTGGTCCAGTCACCCCTATAGGGCACATGTGGAAGCTGTAAACAATGCAAGCATGGATGGATCTCCCTTATGGCCATACTTCCAGCCCACCCCATCGCAAACTGACACGAGGGCCAGGCAGCATACTTTGAATGGCTGCTCGGCGTGAGAACTGACGGTGCTGCGCTAGGGGGAGGCTGAGAAGCCTCTCACCTAGAAAAGTGTAAGGCACGTGGCGACCCACTGAACATGGGGTCGCGACCCACTTTTGGGTCATGACCTACCAGTTGAGAACCAAGGATTTACATCACTTGTATCACTAACTGCCCATGTATATTTTTAAAAACTCATCATTTTAGCTACCTCTTCATTCCTCCTCCCTAGATATGTGTGTTAATTGAGAGTACAGCAGGTCAGGAACCGTAAAGTAAATTAAAGAAATAAATAGACATCTGCCATAAAGGAAGGGAATTTGCAGTCCGTAGTAAAATTTCAATGCATTTTATCTAGAAATAATTCAGAGATTTTCATTTGTGTATAGCTGCTTCATTATTATGTTTTATGCAGCAGATGGTTCTCTTATTTATAACAACCACAGATTGATTATTTTATAAAAATATATTTTGTATATGGTTTATACTAAAATATTAAAGTGAACCTTTCCATTCCCTAAACATGCTGGCACAGCGGTACATTGATTATATGTTCCATTATCTGTCTTAAATGCCTTTCTTCAATTGAAAAACTAAGAGGGTTATTCACTATTGACCCTTGGATTACGTCGTTGGATCAATTTTGGGGAATTTTTTTGGATAAAGGAATTGTCAAAAAAAATGTAATTAATTAAAGAGGTTTTTTTTTTTCAATTAAAGGATTTTTTACAAAAGTCTGGTCTCTTTATTTACAATGTATTTATTTATTTTTTAACCCCCCCCCGCCCATAGATCCCCACAACCAACGCCCCAGGGCTTGTGGGGAAGAGGCTATGTTTTTTTATTCTGCTCACTACCTCGGAGGGCAGTGAGCAGAATAACCGAGCCAAATGCTGTTCTGCAACATTCGGCTATTCACTCACTGCTGTTGGGTTATAGTGAATAACACCCCTTGATCACCATTCCTAACCCCTCCCCGGCCATCGATGTATGCAGAGGGCAGTGACACGTGCTCCAGGAAAATAAAGGTGACTTTGACATGAGGCTATGACTGACATCCCGGCTTTACCTTCTCTACACTGTGCAAGAAGCAAGATGGATGCACCCAACAGTGAAAAAACGATGGGGTCTATTCACTAAGCTGCCGAAAGGATCAAGCCTGTAGCTTCGGCTGATCCTTGGGCTAGCTTCGGCCCCAGGACCCCTTCGGTTAGAACCGACGGACTGCTGTAGGGGCTATTCACTATAGCCCTACAGCTCCCAAAGTCGGTCGAGCGGCTCAGTCGAGCGGAAGGCATATGCTTTGGCTCGACTGAGCAGAAGTGGAAGCCGAAGCAGGCCGAACGGCCTGCTACTGACTGCTGGGGGGAGCCAGATGTCATCTCACGGCAGGCCACGGCCACTTGCACAGACAGATCAGCGTCCCTGGTTACCAGATAACCAGGGACGCAGATCGCCAGATAGCCCAACTCTCCCGGACGCTCCGCGGAGTCTACCGCTATTAGATAGCGGCTCCCGTCCGCCGGGGAGAGAAACAATCTCTCCCGGAAAGTTTTACTCTGCTCGATCAAGCAGAGTAAACCTTTCCCTGCTCTGTTGTCTTTTTATTTTTCTTCTGACATCAGAGCCGTTGGCTGCCGTCAGAATAAAAAAAAGAAAAAACACCATAGGAATGCATAGCTAGATTCCTATTGGCTATTTCTATTTGCAATAGCCAATAGCAAACTAGCTATTGCACTCACCCACTGCTGCTGTCAATCAGCAGAGGGTACCTGAAGTTCTCCATCAGGTCCCCTCTAGTGATTGACAGCAGCAGAGGGCGGGTGCAATAGCTAGTTTGCTATTGGCTATTGCAAAGCAAAGTGAAATAGCCAATAGGAATCTAGATATGCATTCCTATGGTGTTTTTTTTATTCTGACGGCAGCAGAACCGCGCTGCCAATGGAAAACAGTTGGGCAGAGCTAGCTGTCACTGCTAGCTCCGCCCAATCGTTTTCTATTTAATTTTTTCTACTTTTTTAACCAGTTTTTCTATTCTGCTCGGTACCACAGAGGTATCCAGCAGAATAGCGGAGCTGAATGCCTCTGTTCGGCATCTATGAGAATAGGCCGAACAGCAGCGAGTAGCCTGCCGAAGGTTCGGCTTAGCCGATCCAGATGTTGGATCGGCTGAGTCGAACTCCTTCTGCACTCCGGGTCAGCCGAACATGCTGAGCATGTTCGGCCGACCCGAAGCAAGCCGATGCCTACAGAAAGGTAAAATTTTATAGTGTCACATTGATAATTAATCCTGTCATTACATCATACGCAGACTTTATCAAAGGTTGTCCTATCCTTTAACACATATATAGAGTGCTGTTTTTGAGCAACATATGTTCCCTTTGGGAGCACCGAGTAAAACCAAAGAATAATGTACATATGCTGCCAATGGCACCTGTGTGCAACAGCTGTGTTTTGTCACACTTATATATCTTTATAAACTGTACTGCTTTAATATTTGCACTGTATAGTATGAATTACAAATCTTCCATGAAATCTACAAGCCTAAAAACACTGTACCGATAATAAATATATATACATACTGGAACAGGGACTCCTTCATTCTCCATTCTCAGTTGTGGATCCAAATAGACAAACTGCCAGCAGGTTTCATATGATGGTTGATCTGTTAAACTAACTTCTTGCAAATGAGATTTCTTACAGCATTTTAGAAATGTTTTTTGGTCACTTGTCAGATATAACTGAAAAACATATAGATGGATAAAACAACCAATCACTTCAGTGTTGCTCTGCATATATCGACATTTTAATGGATGTATTTTTCCTGTAGGCACATTTTATTGGTCATAAGGCGCACTGATGCGACACATATTCAGCAAATGATACATTATATATATATATATAATGACTGTAACTATGAAAATTGCTATCAATTAATTGGTTTTGTAAGTGGGGTAAGTAGCAATAATAAAGTGTTAACAGATGACACATATGGCATGTAGTAACAATCAACTGCAAAATAAATGAGGCATTGCGTAATCATGTGAAATGAATTAACTACTGCATGGTGCTTATATACGCTATAGGGAGCTATTTGTTCCATAACTAAGCTAATAAAATTATTTTCATTCCAATTGAATTACTTGGTGCTGTTTTCTTGTCTGTTTAATACATTCTGCAATTTTTTCCAAATATTTGGAACATTTATTTTGTTTGAGAACATTACAAAAGTGCTTTACACTTTCACTGTAATGTCGTCCTAGAACAATTCTACATGCCTTAGTGACATGATCCTCTGAAAATAAAAACTGATCATTAATCCAATGCAGTTGTGTAGTGTTATTATGGAAGTGGAATTTATTTTAGAAGCAAAGGTGGCCTCAGTGTATGATATATGTTCCTGCTTCACTTACATGTCCCATGAAACCATCTCTTGTCCTTAAGGCAAAGTTCTGTCCATAATGAAGAGGTTCCCCATAATCACTGCCATCCACACTGTTTCCCAATAACATGGAAAAACATAAATACAGTTATTTTAACATAGTCAGAGTTTATGAGCTTTTCAAGCAGAACTAAAGGAAACTGTCCGGAAACGCAAAACGCGTCAAAAACGCATCAAAAAAGCACTGCACTGCAGCTAACATACTGACAGCCACACTCCAGCAAAAAAAATTTTTTTTTTTTTTTAACTGGAACGCATCAAAAACGCGGCAAAAACATATAGCAACGCGTCTGCAGATCCGCACCTGATCCGGACCTGAAACACATGTGAACAGGCCTTTAACCCCCTTGATTCAGCCAAATCCTCCTTCAGTTGTGTCTCACACATCCCCATGCTAAACACTGCAGCTCACAGTGAGGGGGTTCTAGCAGCACAGTCAATTCTGCCAATTCTGAAAGCAACAGGCAGGACTAGGTGTGGCAAGCTGCTAATTGACAAGCCACAGGCTTGTGACTCAGTAGTGATAATGCTGATAGCCACCCACTGCAGCATCTTCTGATCCCACTGTAGACATTAGTAGACAACTAGACACAGACTACATTAAGGACAACACTCCTTTGATTTCAGTGGCAGTGCAGAAGCATTGTCCTCCCATCACAGGAAGTGTACTTCACTGGCAAGATCAACAAGTAATTGTAGGACTTAGCAGTAGAGTCAGGAGAGGAGAAAAGTGTAATTAATTGCAAGTACATTTACGTAGGGATGCACTGATATATCGGCCGCCGAAACACACTGGGCGGAAATGGCACTTTTGGCTAAGTGCCGAAAGTGCAATTTTTCTGCCGATACAGCAGTGCATCCATTCTTTCTCTCCTCCCCGCTGGGTGCTGCTGTGTGTCCCAGCAGGGAGGAGAGAAAGTGTGACAGCCAGCCGAGCGCTGGGAGCAGCCGGCGCCTCTTCTCCCACACCGCTCAGCCTCCTGTCACAGTCTGGCAGTGTGTTGTGTGGGCGGAGACAGCCAGCGCTGTCACAGGAGGCTAAGCGGTGTGTGGGTGGAGACAGACCGGTCGCTCAGCCTCCTGTGACAGCGTGTCAGAGAGGAGAGCCAGGTACAAACACTCAGTGATCAGTGTTTGTAAATAATTGAAATTTCCCCTGCTCCCCTGCTGCGCTCAGTGACTTGACCCACTAGCTTCTATGTCATTACTGTGTCCTTTCAAGTAAAGACCAGCGGGTGGAACCAAAGCACCCAGCAAATCACCATTCCCAGAAGTGTCCGATTCTGCAGGATCTCCAGCTGGTGGTTTCTCTTCATTACTGCAGAGCCCATCCGGCAGTGGAAGTGGTTGTCATTCAATGTCTTGCTTGCAGGGAACTATCCATTGTACAGATTTATTTTATTGACCGAGACGCTTTAAAGCTCAAATCATTTCTCCTCTAGAAACAGTAACAGAACACAGGACAGCAGGAACAACAACGTGCGCACACTATGGTCCTGTTCATATATACCATAGTATGTGTTTTCCTTGCACTGTATCACAATTACACTGTACTAACATTGACATATCATACTATTCAATGAAACACTGCATCTTTCACCCGATGCACGGTACATATATGCACTGTAATGTATGCACACTTTGACGTTACATGTTCAGGAACTTGAAGGAGAACTCAAAATTCTGAATATGTTTCTCAATTATTATTTTTTGTTAGCATGTATTATAGAATTGTGATGGGAACATATACCTTGTTATAATGAACACATTTCTGGCACATGGCTTGACATTGCTGATGCCACTGATTCCACACGGTGCTGTGAGTTGGGTCTTGGAAGATAAAGCACTTTCATCTGGGTTCACTGAGACCGTGTAGTTGCCGTATATTGGGGATGGATTACTTAACGACTCCTCACTGTTCTCTGGATTCAGCAGCATGATGACATCACCAAAGTGGAGGAACCCGTCCTTGGAGAAGGAAAGCTCTACCTTGTTTACAGAGAGGAAAAATATGAATTCACAGCACTAGCAGTCAAAAACCCCGGTTTACCACATCCAATAATCAGTTTTATTTCAGAAAGTAATGATACCACTCTTCACAGCGTATCTCCGAGTACCAAACAACATTGCCTTGGAGTGCACTACAAGGGTTAACTGCTTGTTTTTGTCTAGGGGAATTCTTTAAAGCATTTTTCTCACCTAATCCCCGATCCTCTGGTTGTCGGGGGCTCACCTCTCCCCCCTCCACTCCTGCTGTGGAATGTCCCTCTACGTCCTCGGGTCTATTGTGTTGCTATAGACCCTGCATTAGAAGTGATGACTTCAGTAGACCTCCAACCACCAGTGGAGGGCTGCAGGTGCCAGTCTTGGAGCCAACGGGAGTGCGGGATCAGGTAAGTAAAATTGCTTTAAAGAATCCCCCTAGACCAGGGGTGGGCAAACTCCGGCCCTCCAGCTGTTGGGGAACTACAAGTCCCACGAGGCATGGCAAGATTCTCACAGCCACATGCGTGATTCCCAGAGGCAGATGCATCATGGGATTTGTAGTTTCACTACAGCTGGAGGGCCGGAGTTTGCCCACCCCTGCCCTAGACCAATGGTGGGAAAAATGGTGGGAAACTCACAGCCCTTCAGCTGTGCTTTAACTACAAATCCCAACATGCCTCTGCCTCTGGGAGTAATGCCTATAACTGTCAGTCCTGCAATGCTTCATGGGAGTTGTAGTTCCACAGCAGCTAGAGGGACGGAGTTGCCCACCCCTGCCCCAAACCAAAAAATGCAGTTGGGGTAAGTCCCACTGCAAGGGGAGTTTTTGTTATCATGAGATTGGCTTTACATAAGTACTTTACTGACACGAGTGAAAGGGTCTGTGAGTGTGATGTTATAAAAGGATTGCAGTGGTTGTAACCTCTGTCAGGTCTGTTCTTCTACAGCCTTGGTTCTCAACTGGTGGGTCCTGACCCAAAAGTGGGTCGCGACACCATGTTCAGTTGTTTTTTGGCGCGTGCCTTCCATTTTTCTAGGTGAAAAGCTCATCAGCTTTCCCCTACCGTAGCACTGTCAGTTCTGCCGCCAAACAGTCATTCAAAATATGCTGGCCGGTGCAGAGTGTCAGCTTGAGGTGGGATGGGCTGGGGCTATGCCCGTGAGGGAGCTCCATCCATACTTACAGCTCCCTCACGTGTCCTGGACCAGAGTGATGTCACATTCTGGCTACTACAGGGCATGCAAGTGAGATGTACAAGCATTGCACATATGGAGGGAGCTCCATCACAGCACAGCAGCCCACACTGCACCCCAGGCTAAGGATCCACTCCAGTTCTCATAAGGTATGGAGACTGGGTGGATCTTTTCAATGGCACCCCAAACGCACCTCCCACCCACAGTTTGGTTGCCACACCAGAAAGTGCAATAACGCAATGCTGTGCGTTCCATTGCAGTGCAACTTGGGTCGCGACTTAATGACCAAGGACAAATGTGGGTCCCGAGGTTACATAGGTTGAGAACCACTGGTCTGCAGGACTACACCCCCCCAGACACAGGCTGGACTCTATCCACAGACTACTCTCTATATTAAACCATACAAAAATCTTAATATTATTTAGAGTTCTCCTTTGTAATCTATTCAGTGTAATCTCATATTTATTTCATGCACATTCATCACAAGAAACACTCATAATATTGAGAAAAATGAATTTATATCATATTTGGATAATCTCTTTTCAATGTTTCCCTTTGTTTCTTTAGGAATGTGAAGCAGCAAGTCTAGGGGCCCATTCACCCCCGAAGCATTGGCCTGCACTGGGCACCCTTGTCCAGAGCAGTCCCAATGCAAAGGCAATTTGCTTTGCTTACTATTAAAGAAGAACTCTGGGTAAAAATGTAATTAACCCTTCCAGTGGGGCTGCCCCCGGCACTGCAAGGGTTAAGTGTTTGTTTTTGTCTAGGTTAAAAAAAAAAAAAAGGTTATACTCACCCGATCCTCCCAGTCAACGGGCTCTTAAACCGGACCCTGGAGCCAATGTACCCCTTTGCTGCAGCAGTCTAAGGTCCCTGAGACATCACGTTCTATACAGTATATAGTGTATAGGAGGTGAGGACGTTGAGGCACACACCATCGTTACAGCGGAGGAGGAGACAGGCGGGAGAGAGCGCTGTCACAGATGGCCAGTTTAGCGGATCGGGTGAGTATAACTGTTATTTTGAACCTAAACAAAACAAAGCCCTTAATCCTTGCAGTGCAGGGGTAGCCCCACAGAAGGGGTAAGAATTGTTTTGCTTAGAGTTGTATATAATCAGTTCACACCATGATTTTAGTGTGGTGTGAGCTGGAAAAGAGTTTGACTTGCAGTACTTATTCGCACCACAACATGTTGCAACACATTGGGGTGAGTAGAACTGTGCACTCTCCCCCAACTTTTCGATCATGATTGAGAACACAACTATCCAACCATCCCCCCATTCCAAGGTGCTAGGTGTCATCCTTGACTCAGACTTCACCTTTCTTCCCCACATCCAATCACTATCCAAATCCTGCCACCTTCACCTTCGTAACATCTCCAAAATACGCCCCTTCCTCACCAATGAAACTCCAGGATACTCATCCACTCCCTTGTTATATCTCGTCTTGACTGTTGCAACTTCCTCCTCATTGGCCTTCCACTACCCAGGCTCCTCCCCCTTCAGTCTATCATGAATGCAGCTGCCAGACTCATTCACCTGACCAACCGCTCAGTGTCTGCAACCCCCCTCTGCCAATCCCTGCACTGGCTTCCCTTCCCCACCCCCCTCTGTCAATCCCTGCACTGGCATCCAATAGCTCAAAGGATAAAATTAAAAATGTTAACAACCACTTACAAAGCCATCCACAACTCAGCCCCAGGTTACATCTCCAACCTTGTCTCAAAGTATCACCCTAACCGTCCCCTCCGCTCTTCCCAAGACCTCCTGCTCTCTAGCTCCCTTGTCAACTCCTCCCATGCTCGCCTCCAGGACTTCTCTATAGTCTCTCCCATTCTTCTGAACTCCTTACCCCAACCTGTCCGTCTATCTCCCACTCTGACTGCCTTTAGGCATTCCCTAAAGACTCATCTCTTCATGGAAGCCTATCCCACCTCAACCTAACCACTGAACCATCACGTTCTCAAACAATTCCTCCCCACACAGCTACCTCCTCTTATATCACTTCCCCCTCCCTTTTAGATGAAAGCCCTCAGGGGCAGGGCCCTCCTTACCATCTTGACTTGAATTGTACTGTGATTTTAATATCTTCCTTATATTGTAAAGCGCTGCGCAAACTGTTGGCGCTATACAAATCCCGTATAATAATAATATAACAACAGTTTGTGACATTTCAATAAAGTCTGAGTGAAAAAAAACAGGTAAAAAGTGCAATGCAATACATTCAGCGCATTGCACCTCCTCCTAACAGCACACAACAACGGCCGTGAGTAGTGCGCACTACTGATGTGTTCAGACCATAAAAATCTAAATTGTGTTAAAGGGGGTAAGGGCCCATAATGTGCGCTTGCTGGTGTGTGCTGTGCACATATAGTAGGATGCGTTGTTCAAATATATTGCAGTGCTCTATTTTTCTTTTCATTTATTTCACATCTATTAATCCTATGCACATGGCACATTGTGGTTCTCTGACGTGCACTGGAATGCGTTCTGCACTTCAATGCAAAAAAAGCTGTATGTCTACAATGCACTAGTTCAATGTGAATGAGGCACACAGACAGCTATGGCTTATGTGGCGTCCTTGCATTGAGCTTGCATGGATCAACTCAGATCAACACAGCTGTGAGTGTGAACGAGCAGTAAAGGATAATATTTCTTATGTCATTTTTCAGATGAAGATTACTTCATCTAGTCTGTGAATAAAAATGATTCTTCTAATTAAATCAAATGAAATTGTCAGCAGACTCCAGAGGTCTGTATGCACGTCACTGTCTATATGTTATATCAGTATTTGTGGCTAATGTGTGGCGAATCACGGGTTTGTTGCGTTAGTAATTGGCTGAATTACACTAACCGTTATCTCCTGCTAAGGAACAGATGTTGGTGTAAATGGTGCTTGATCTGGTGAATGTGTGGGTGAATCTTCCCAGTAAATGCGTTCTATAAACATAGCTACTTACCTTTTGCAGGATACATTTCTTCAACCGACCTGACTTTTGTAAAAGGAGTTCCCCTTTTTCTCTTTTTTCTAAAAAATCTTTCAAGAGATCCTATATGATGATAGAAAAGAAGACAACATTGAAAACTAAAACAAGAGGAAAGATGTTGTGAGAAACACGTTAACTTTGTTTATTGCGGTTGTTTTCCAATGTTTGATCTGATTATCTGATATCATGTTTGAGTGTCTGTTCCCACCACTGGGCTGCCGTGCATCTTGAAAAATACAAAGAGGGGAATTTATCACAACTGGAGCAGACAGAATCTTGTATGGTTGCCCATGGCTAACAGTCAGCTTCTCTCTTTTTCAAAACTTAATTGAACAAATTGGTATTCAGTGCAATGCAATAAATTCAGCACATTGCACTGCCTCCTAAGGCTGGCACACACCTTACAACCATCGCAAGACTTTTGTCTTGCGATGGTTGTAAGGTAATTTTAAAAACGTACGATCTGCCTATCTTGGACAGGCAGATTGTACTTGCGATGATCGCAAGCCACGCCCCCTGAGGGGCGGGCTTCCGATGACTGCAATGCTAAACGAGCAGTGTGTGCTTGCGCACACCGGCCCGTGCGGCTTTTATCTTGTGAACATGCCACACACCCGCCGAACATCGTAAGATGTTCGGCTGGTTTTCGAACATGTTCCTAAGATAAAAGTTGTGCGACCTTACAGTAGCAGAGGTCGCACGGCTCCCACACACCTTACGATAATTGTACGATCGCGGGATTTCCTGCAATTATCGTACGATTATCGTAAGGTGTGTGGGCACCTTTACAGCACATAACGGCCATGGGTAATCCGTGCTGCTGGTGTGATTGGACCATATCAATTTAAAATGAATGACATTTCAAGCTGGATTGCACTGGGTAAGGGCCCATAATGTGTGCAGTGCATCGCACTGCTCGCTTTTTCTTCTTCTTTCATTTATTTCTTATCTATTAATTCTAAACAATCAGCGTCTATCTTTCATTTTCAAAGCTTAGCTGAACAAAATGAAGATAGAAGCTGATTGACTACCAAGGGCAGCTGTTCCACATTCTGTCTGCTCCAGTTTTGATAAATCCCCCTAATGTGCGTCAGTGCAATCCATCAAAATGCATATAACGCAGGGGTGGGCAACTCCGGCCCTCCAGCTGTTGTGAAACTACAAGTCCCATTGCAGGACTGACAGTCACAGGCATGACTCCCAAAGATATGTTGGGATTTGTGGTTAAAGCACAGCTGGAGGGCCGGAGTTACCCACCTCTGATGCATTGGAAATAGGTAATAACAAACCTTGGTCAATGGCTGGTAATGCTATCCACACCAAATCCTACTTTCAAAAATGTATTGGAAACGCATGTTAAAACACATCAACGCACAAAGAAAAACACACATGGGCACGGAAACGCGCCCGCCTATCGCAACAAAATACTGCACCTCTCTATGCATAGTAGAAATGGGCCCTGAAGAAATGATTATGATATTTTTTTTGTGCAGTAGAAGGGATGGAGGGGCAATCAACAAGTCCCCAGTAATGTTCAGTATATTCCTCATGTTACATAAAATATACAGACTGGTGGAGTGTGATCACCTCGTCCAGGGAGATATCCTCATTCCAGTTCCCCACTCGGACAGATGGTTTGAAGGTTTGGACGCTCATCTTAGCTGCGTGCTGCTCGGTGCCGAGTCTCAGCCTAGCAGTGCATTCCGGTTGTTATGGCAACGTCGATTTGTTTATATGTTCCTATGGATACGGAGCGGGGCTTACTGAAGAGCACAGCGCCATGCTGCAATAGGTTAAGCCCGCCTAGTGTTGATGCTGCAATGCTGACATCTAGTGGATATAATACATATTGCAGGCACATTACAGATCCTCACATGTAGAGTTCAGTGACTCCTAGAGGTTGATTTACTAGAAGTAAACAGGCTGTTAGCTTACAAGGGACGTTTCATGCAAGGTGGTGACATTTTACTTTGCAATAAACACCAAATCATGTGCAAGTAAAATAAAAAGAAAACAGTATTTTTGCTTGCAAATGATTGACCAAGCCAGTGTTGCTTGCTCACACGTTTGCATTGCTTTATAATGCATTGGTGGGATTTGTAGTCCTCTATAGTTGGTGGTATTCTGCATTGCTTTATAATTCATTACTGGGATTTGTAGTCCTCTATAGCTGGTGCCAATTTGCATTGCTGTATAATTTATTGCTGGGATTTGTAGTCATCTATAGTTGGTGGTAGTCTACATTTCTGTGTAATGTATTACTGGGATTTGTAGTCCTCTATAGTTGGCGGTATTCTGCATTGCCGTATAATGTGATGCTAAGATTTGTAGTCCCTCTACAGCTTGGAGTCAGTGGCAGATCTACCAGGGTAGCATCTGCAACCGGGCCCTGGCACTCCACCACTGACTCCAAGCTGTAGAGAGACTACAAATCACAGCCCGGACAGGACGAAGAGGGCCCGGTGACCATCGCCATTTCCATAAAAAGGCCCACCAAAATCCTCAGCACCAGGCCCAGGTGGTCAGTATGGGCTCTCAGGTTGTCAGTGTGGGCTCCAGGTGGTCAGTGCGAGCTCTAGGAGGTCAGTGCGGGCTCCAAGTGGTCAGTGAGCCTGGCGGCTGCAGCCATAGCAGATGCGGCTCTCTGTTCAGGCATATCAGAGGGCCTCTGATATGCCTGAATACAGGGCCACGGCTGCCTGGTCGCAGCCGGCCTGGATTGCCATCGGGTCGGCCGCGATTCGGATCACGCCGTCCGTGATTCAGGCTGGGTCGGCCGGGCCTATTTGCAGTGGTGGGCCTGGAGCAGAAGTTCCACCTGCCCCTATGTTAATCCGGCCCTGAGAGGTTCCCCTGCTGGAATGTCTTTTGCTTGCAGAAAGGTGTTATTAGAACAATGTCCTCAGAAAGGTCTTGTTGTGAAATCTGTAGAGAGACAGTCTCCTAATATTCTACAGCGCTCTCGGTCCAGCTGATGAGGAGTTCTGTAATAACAGAAATTCATGTTTTTTGTAATTGTCAGTGTATGGAATGTGTGTATTCTTAGTGAGTCTACATGAAAGATGTTTTAGGAAATTGTCCAGGATTAGAGCTTAACAGCTTCCGTTCTCCAAAAACACTGGGTCTTGTCACACCTACCATGTCCTATCTCCACAGCCATGTCAATCTCCGACCTTCCAACTGTGGTGAAACTACAAATCCCATGGTGCATCTGTCCCTGGGAGTCATGCCTGTGGCTGTGAGAACCTCATGGGCTTTGTAGTTCCACTACAGCTGGAGGGCCATAGTTTGCCTACCCCTATTCTACTATCTAATCTTGGGGCCAGGCAAGACTGGGGCCCTATAAGCCCTTTCGGAGGCGGATGGTGGCTGGGTGCCCTGGTTTTCCCCAGGTTTCCTTTGATGTAAAAAAACCTTCTCTTCATGCACCATTTCTCCTGAGGCTGCTGTGAGCTGTATTGTCCTGCAGTATGCAAAGTGATGCCATAAGGTCACATTAAAGTCTGGAACTGTGAATAGATTAGTGAAGTTTAACCCTGTAAGAGTTGTGTTTTCACACTGGTCTCTTTGGGGTAAAGTGTATGTAAAGCCAAAGGCTTTTTTTTAGCTTTGGATAGAGCAGGAAAGTTGACAATTCCTGTCAGTGTATATATTTGGTGTGTCTGTCCCGTCAATGAGATGAGATCTCTCCAAAGTGAGAAGAGTTTCCTCCTTAAGACAGTTGTCACCAAAACCAGTGTCCCCATTGGAAGATTTACTCTGAACTCCAGAGCCGGGTATACGTATGCTGTTTATATATTACAATAACATAGAAAAAAACAATAGAGGCATGCAAATTCACTAACGACCCCAGAATTATATACATTCTGAAAGCAGAGGACAATAAGAGTAACAAAAAAGATGGTTGCCACCAATTGAGGATGTTGCTCAATACTTATTATGGATGACCCGATCCCAATACTAGTATCGGTATGGGGGCCGATAAGGGCATTGTCACCACTACTTGTACTCATGAAAATGCCCCGATTCTTAAGGCCGATGCTGGCCCTTTACATTTTTAAACCGCAGCTGCTGTCTGATTTCCCGCGCTTGTGGGTACCTCAGGCAGCCTGCTGGAGACCTGGGAGTAGTTCTCCTTGGCAGTGCCTGTCCTGTTCTATATCTCCTGCTCCTCCTTCCCGACGCAGGCACAGCCATAGATAACCCCACACGGCATGTACAGCCCCGGAGCCGATGCCTCCCCATTCAACTCTCCACCCACCATTTCAGGCCGGCACCCGTCCAATCAGCATAGCCACTGCATACAGAGCCCTGCAGGGATCCACATGCCGCCTGGGTGTGATTGGCATGCAGCCTGGTGAGATCTGTATTTAGCTCTGGTTTACACGCATACACATGTAGAATCACATACATACACGCAATTGGTTGAACTTGATGGACCTGTCTCTTTATTCAACCTCAAATACTATGTAAGACTATGTAAGACATGTATTTAGCTCTGGTGACATGTATTCAGCTCTGGTGACATGTATAACCAGCTCTGGGGACATCTGTATTTAGCCCTGGTGAGAAACTGCCCTAAAATCATCAATCTGTATTGTTTTAGAAAAAATGTCAGATGTCCCTTTAATATTGGTAATTAGTATCGGTGAGTATCTGAGGGAAAGTACTTGTATTGGTCTTGAAAAAGTGGTGTCGGGATATCCCTAATACTTATGCTTAAGAAATCTACTGTATATTTTCAGCAAAGACGCTTAAATGTTTAAAGCAGAAAAAAAACACAATTTAATTTCTAAATTTACCATTTAGCATAAAAGATGAGACTGTGCCAGTTTAATAAATACCAAATATATCAAACCTCTTACAAAACAAAACCACTAGACACAAAATCGTAAATAGGCGACACATTTAAAGCCTGTACAACATATCAGTTTAGACCAGGAGCAGACAACTTTGGCACTCCAGCTTTGCTGAAAGTCCCACGAGACATTGCAAAATTCTGGCAGCCACAGGCATGACATGCAGAGGCTGAGGTGAGGTTGCCTACCCCTGGCTTTGGCCTAAAACCAAATTGCTATATCTAGCATCTGTGGAGATACGTAATATGTGTCTCCTAAGAGGCGTGTAAGTATGTCTGTGTGTCCTAACTCTGTGTAAGTTAGGCCCTGTTCACACTCTGCGGTGCGTAAATGAATGTGAACGTGCATTCATGCTCATTGACATGCATTTTTGCCGAGGTTGCCTCACATTAACCCATTCAATCACTGGTCTGCCATACACGCAACAAATGCAGCAAAGTAGCTCATGCAGCATTTTTTGGCTGCAAGCGTGCCACTTTTTTTTGTCCCACGTGTTTATGCATGTTTGACGCTCATACATGTGCAGAAAAAATACACATTTTACTGGCCATGTTTGGGGTGCCATTAACAAGTAATGCCCCCACGAGTCCATTGCAATTTTTTAACGCATTGCATAAAAACACGCATGTATACTTTGCCACATGTGAATGCAACACTGAAGTGTGAAAGGGGACTAAATGTATGCTTCTATATATGTCAGTTGTGGGGGTTGGGTCTTTTACATTTATGTTTTTTACTGATTACGATCTAAGAGAAAAGCACCCTCTGTGTGTCTTGAATGGGGGTTAAAGCAGTGATATTTTCTATTTCTCATCTGGAGCTTCAGGGCAGCACATTAAGCACTAAGGCCCCATTCACACTGAGCGACATGAAAATCGCGCGATTTTGTGCGACGAGCGATATTGAGCGACGTATCGCGCGACTTTTTCCTATTGGGCTGTATGCAATCAGGAGCAATATCGCTGGAAATCGCTCGAAAAAGGGTCATGTAGGAGCGACAAGCTACCAGCGACAAGCTACAAGCGATATTGAGCGATATTGAACGACGAGATGTGAACAGCTCCATTGAAATGGATTGGAGAAGCTACATAGAGTGATATCGCGTGGAAATATGAGCGATATCGCTGCAAAAATCGCTCGATAAATCGCTTAGTGTGAATGGGGCCTCAGTGTGAGGAATAATTTTACATACAGCCTTCAGAACTCAATGTTAGGGGTCTATTTACAACAATTTGCCTAGCCATGCACCTGCAAATCTCTGCGAATGTTCCTTCTGCACTAATACAGGCAAAACTAACGTTCTTAGTATATTTTCATTTCTGGTCAAATGTAACATTGAGAAAATACTTCATTATGGCCACTAGATGGAGCTGAGGAGCATAAAAGAAAATACTTCAATGTGTGTTCAGAAGGACGGCCACGTTGTCCCAGTTTGCCAAGAGCTCTTATCAACCTGTGACACTCTAGCTTCCCGCCCAGCTCACTGATGTCATTGGTTGCCAGGGAACCGAGAAAGACGCTCTGGTTGGCATCCCTCCTAGCTCCTGGCAACCAGTGATGTCAATCAGATTGTTCAGGTATTTTGAGAGCCAGTGGGGCCGACTAGCAAGATGCTACAGCTTGGCCCAGTGGGAGATTCCGCCATCCACACAGTTTAGCGTAGATGGAGGAATCTGTTGCACTTTTTTCATCTAACCATAGAAAATCTGCAGATAATCTATAGGTGTATGGCCAGCTTTAGGGAAATCAATGAATCACTCACATAAGCAGATGGAAAATCTGCAGTTTTACTTTTAACTATTTCCTG